TATATATATATATATATATATATATATTACACTATCTAAGAAAAATGTCTGTCTTTTGCTTAACTATAACGTAGAAATTTTATATCAGGTAGCATAGTCCGAGGAGGACAGTTTCATTTTGCAAATAAGCTTTACTTACATAAAGTAAATGTGCTGATTTCATCCTTCGTGATCATGACATTATTACTGGTATTTAATATCAGTTTAGGTATAAAGGACACAACTGTATTGTTCACATACGAATATCAAGGCTAAATTGACAACAAAATACCTGGTAGCTCATGATTTTTATTTTTAATCTGAATTGAATACTGCCCATTCGTTCGGTAAATGAAAACCAGCTAACCCCAGATTTTCAATGAAAAAATACTCCAGTCATTTTTCAGAACTCAAAGTTTTGATATCTTTTACATTAATCTCTTTGAAATGCAAAATATAACATACCTCTTTATAACTCCAGTAATTAATGTAGTCTACCTTGAATTCTCTGACCTGCAAATATTTTTATCAGCTTTAAAAGTCTATTTCTGTCTGTCTGTCTCTCTTTCTGTCTTTTGAGTGCGTTGTATGTATGTATGTATGTATGTATGTATGTATGTATGTATGTATGTATGAATGTATGTATTATGCACGCATGCATGTATGTATGCATGTGTGTATATATATATGTATATATATATATATATATATATATATATATATATATATATATATATATATATATATATATATATATATATATAATTACATCTGTTTGGAGATTTGTCATTATTTCAATTAGATAATGAACTGGTAATGCAATAGGAAAGAACAATTTTTTATGTATCTATTGATAAGTTATTCGAGGTTCTTTCTCATGCTAATCACAGAACCGAATTCCATTCCTTATGTAGTTACTTATTTTGTTAATTGTATCAAGTGCATAATTATTTTCTAATGCACCTGTACTATATCATTTATTTTAGCAGATTATGCTAATATCAGCTTGGGCTATGTTGCATTCTCTGCAATTATTGGTGTTTTAATGAAATGACAGACGTTTCTAGTACAATAGTTCTTTTTACGATATTTTTGTCTTCCTCCGGAAAAGGGTTCAAACTTACCAGAGATTAATCTTCTTGTTCATGTTTTGATTCTTCTTTCTGTTGAATGCTTGTAACAGTGGTTATGAAACCCCAAAGAAATTTCAAATAAAGCAATTAAAGACTTTCCTATAGACTAAATCGGATGCAAGAACAGTTCAGTAAATATAATATTTGTGAGATACCTCATAATCCGTAGTAAATTTTAAATTTCTTTTATTACCAAAGTAGCTGAAGGTCTTCATATATAAATAAAACACAGGAAACATTGAGATCGAGTTCAAAAACTTCACTGCATATGCGGAGAATGTCAATTTGGTCATCGCCAAAGAACTTGGTAATGTAAACCATCTAGAACATTTGTATTTCCTTGACGACAGGTTGCACACAAATATCATGTGCTTAAAATAGTTTGTTTTTCTTTCTTATAATGTAACGATTTTTTTTGTTGATATCAGTGGATGGTCTTCACTAGTTAAAGGAGTTTTGACAGTTTTCTTACAATTTTTATATTACAAAATTACGAAATAAATGTTAAAAACGATAAAATGTTTATGTCGATTATTAGTTTTAACACATTGAGAAAAGTTTTAAATTCCAACATTGTCTCAGATTAAATTAAATGAAAGTGATTCTCTCTCTCTCTCTCTCTCTCTCTCTCTCTCTCTCTCTCTCTCTATATATATATATATATATATATATATATATATATATATATATATATATATATATATATATATATATATATATATATATATATATTGACAGTATTTGTGTAGACTGATATATTAGCATGCATTTAGGAAGTGTGTGTGTGCTTGTGTTTCTTTCTTTTGGAATTTGAACGTAGCTTTACCAATTTTCCAGTATTATCGCTACGATTTCTGCAGTGTGGCAGCTTATAGTGATGTTTCGCATTGGGGTATCACGCCGCTGACATGTAGCATCATGTTCCACCGAGTCATATTAACATGATTTTAGGCCGACCAGTACTAACACTATCCTCTTAATGCTAGCACCATTTTGTGTAAGTCTTTGCTATGAGTGGGCCATGGCTGGAACCCTTGATCTGCCGGATACTAGGTGGACACACTAACAACTTAAGCCACCGGAGAGGTCATGCAGTTTGGAAATAATGGTCTTGCCCTACACAAATATTGTAAATTCAGTATGTATTGCGAGATATATAGATGTATACATACATACGAATGTACGTACTTTAGAAGATATTACATACCTGCATATATACATACCTTTTCACACTGTTCACCAAATATATATATATATATATATATATATATATATATATATATATATATATATATATATATGCGTTGTTTCAATATTTGGGTAGAAACTACACATCAAGGAATCTTTTGTGCATTTGGACAGGTATCACGTGACTGTAAGCTTGTATGCACGTGAAAGTAATAGCATAATGAAAATTAAATGATTGCTCGTCAATAAACGCCACGATTGCATCGCTCACATGCGAACTTCAAAGCCAGATTTAGAACATTATATCTGTTTGTTTATGATATGGTCTATACTTGAACTCAGAAACATTTAGCTTCAAAGTTTTATTAGATAAATAATTTAGCGATCTACCGATTAATATATTTTGCTTTAAATTCTACGGTCTGGATGAAAAGTAATTAATTACCGATATAGAGCCTAACAAAAGAGACAAGGGCTTCTTTTGATAATGTTAAGAATGATCTCTTAACGCCTTCAGTTTTTGTATTATATTTTCTATACAAGTGTCCATAATACCTAGACGTAAATCTCCATACGCCTTGTTTGTGGTGAATGTAGTAAGTTCAGCAGCCTGCCAGACGTATAGACGTTTGCGTCACAGTCCAAAGTTCTCGATCTTTAGCATGTGTGCTTACATTAAATTTATTGAAAGTATGTATATGGCGATGAATAAAACAAAAGCACGACTTGAACACACTGATACCAAATCCAACGCAAGGTGTACAACAATACACATCGTCGGCTATGGTATATTATGCATTGAGCTTTTAATTCCATAATTTTTAGAAAAGTTAGCTGCAAAGTTTGGAGTAAAGACCTCATGTAGAAAAATACATTATATTTATTAATAAAGCCGATAATTACACAATTTTGTTTTTGTTTAATGTTTAACTCTTTCCATGAATTAATATGTGTATCTTTTCTGTACAATAATTTAATTATGTTTTGGTATAAATGTATCATTATGTGTGTCTCTCTGTGTATGTTGCTTTCTTGTTCTCCAACGTGGGCATTACTTTAGGTCAAAGAATAGCGGTCTTTTGTTTTGTCCATCGATCTTAGCGCAAGAGATCCTTTACACACACACACACACACACACACACACACACACACACACACACACACACACACACGGAAGCCAATTAGCTAGACATAGAACGTGAACATAAACTTCTAAATGTCGTTGCTATTTAGATACATGATGCATTAAAATCAGGTTCCTAGAAGGAATCCCATCAAACTTATCATTAGGTTTCTTAAGCGTAAACAGATTTCCTTGAAGTGTTTATTTATTTTGCTTTGAATTATAGGGTATTGATAACTTTCCATCCGACATTCTGACGTGGAATTGCTTACATGCTGACATTTCGTCTTGAAATATATTTCTGATACATATAATACGCACACTAAATTTATATTCAACCTAACCACCCGAATGAATACATCTCTCTCTCTCTCTCTCTCTCTCTCTCTCTCTCTCTCTCTGCTTGTCTCGCTCTTTGTTTAGCTTCAGAGTTAGACATATCGTATTTCAAAACAGACACTAACTGATAATATGATTTTAGGCCACAACCCGATGTTGTATTTGGCTACATTCATGAGCTAAATTTATTTTCTTTTAGACAGATTAAAATATAACTGGGAACTTAAAGATTTTATTTAAGTTCTAGTTTTCATCGCTAATTGTTTTTAAACATTGTCTGCTTACACCTAATAAATAATTAGGTCCTTTCAGTGTGAACTATCGAAGACAATTAAATTCATGTAATTATCTTAAGACTTATATAAAGATAATGTATGAAATTAAGACAAATAAATTCAAATAATTACTTTCAGACTCACATCAAAGACAAATTGAATGACATTAAGACCTCGTGCTTTCGTGATTCACTTCTTTCCCACTTTACCAGAGCTGTCGCATTACCCATTGCTCTGTATCTCTCTCAGACTTCTAACTACGTATTACTTTGAGTAATTAGTATCACTTATTACCTTCGAAGCCAAGGTCCTTTAATCTCTTGCAAAAACTTTGACTAATATTGCGGTGTAGGACATTTGTAAAACATGAGACTTGGAAAGACACTACAATACGTTAAGTTATCCAGTCATTATATAGGTTTCTCTAAGGGACATTATAACACACATTTGGAAAATTTCATATTCTTCACTCTTTCCTTAATACTCTGCAAATTTTCAGCTTATGACACATATTTCATCAAGTGCAAGCGCTGTTTCTGCAATATTTAAACCGTAGGCATTTGTGATGAATAAAACCATTTCACCTCCTCGTGATTAGTGCCCTGACACTTATCAAACAAAATTCTAATAACAAGCATTCATGCCCCAATCAGATATTAGTGTACACGACTCTTGCACATGCCATGGATTTAAGTATGTGCCAAATCGAATACATTAATTTGCGTGTATATGTTTGAGTGTGTGTGTGTGTGTTTATTTTTAGAGTAGATTTAACAATCATAATCATATCGTAGCAATGTCTGCAGTGTGGCCGGTTATAGTGATGTCTAGCACTGAGGCGTCTTGCTGTAGCATGATGTCCCACTTAGTCACATTATACTGACACCAGGCGGACTGGTCCTATCATTAACCTGTTAATGCTGAGTGGCAGCGATGCAGTATCATTGATATGAGTCTTCGGCATGATTCGGTCATGGTTTGAACCCGCAACATCCCGCATTCGAGGCAGACGCTCTAACCATTACAGCTACTGGAGCTGTTGATACATTTATTTAATATTCCCATGTGTCACGATGACAACTGCACATTCACCTTCATCTGGAATACTTATTCTCGTATTTATCCAGCTTCAATATCTAGACGAATCAAATTTGATACTTTCAGTTTTAATTTGAAAGAATTTATTTATTCATATTAATCACTGGAATTACAAAGTGTTTCTTAATACTTTCCGACAAAGTGACTCACTTCGAAGTATCATGAACTCATTCAAGGCCATTCTGGATTATATGATTGTGATACATCAAGACTGTTAACACATCGACACATTCCAGGCTATTGGAGACTCGGCACATTCAAAATGGAATTCAATCGGAACAACACTGGGATTCCTTGGGAACAATTTACGCTTGAACTTGCAATATAACTTTTAGAACTATGTAGGATTCAGTTTTACTAAATCTATGTTCTTTTAAATTTTGTTTTTAATTGTATTAAAATAAATTATTTTTGGTCCGGAATATTTTTAGATCCTGTCGTTCATTTTGAATTTTCACTGTATTGCGTGGAGATGGGAGGAGTGTCTAGATGCGACCTCATTAATCGTTCCAGCTACTGATTAGTTGTGTATAATAAAATCATAATTTAAAACAAAATGATATTTTTCGGAAGAAATAAATACAAAAATCCATAAACAACTTTATTGTATCATATCTTCACTAGAAAAGGTGTCAGCTTGGGCTACTTCATCAACAAAAGCTTCAACGTTTCTTGGATAAAAAGTATTACTAAATAGCATATACTTACTTGAACTAATTTTTATATGCCTTTGTTTGAAATATAATTTACTACTGTCTAAATAATTTTCATGATTCATTCATTGTTCTATTTTCATTTGTGAAGAACGTATCCGTATATTACTGTACCTACAGAAAGAATACCTGCAACAAGAAATACGAGTACTTTGTGAGTTTGGTCAAATAAATATATGCGTTAATGATATGAAAATTACCTATCTACCGGATGAAATCTGAGACGTCGACATTCGTATCACCTGAGATGCATTGCTGAATTTGAGTCCCTTTTTTAGTCAGATAAGGCCAAGTAGTTTACAAAGTCTCAAAACTTTAATTTACTGCATTATATTAGGCAATTTTAATCCTACCGCTCTGTTATGTTATTATATTTGTATGATTATCATACGATTAGTTTTGAATTTAAGGTATATTTACAATAGTTTTTGGGGTAGAGTTTTTTTTGTGTGTGTCTGTCTGTATGTGGGTGTACGTGTCCCCAAAATTCAAATAATCTTTTCATTATATATACCAACCTTTTGGGTATATTGTTTATATATTTAATGAACACTGTAGATCTTTACGTTAGATGCAAACGTTGTGAGAAAAAACAGATTTAAATATTTGCAAATTAAACATTTGACAGATGTTATTTATACTTCAACATTTTAGCTTTACCATCTCTAAGAGCTTAATTAAGTGTCAAATGATACAACGTAGTCTAATGACGCATTTGGATAACATATAGAATATTGACAATTATGTACTTTCTTCTTATGCCAGATCAAGTTCGGTACACACCAGAATCAATGTTCTTGCGAGAGTGCTAAAACATTTCTCTGTTAGTTTAAACAGTTGTTAGGATATACATTAAGATAAATTCTAGATGAGTGATCGGTATGGTTGTATATGCTGTATTGTCAGGTGTAAATTATGGGACATTATTCATATTGAAACTAGATTTTTTTTTTTTTTTTTTTTTGGCTTACCTCTAAAGATACTCTGAGCTACACCCATATTGCGTCGAGTTTGCATGTAGTTTGTTGAACTTGCTCTGATAGGCATCGTATGTATTCAGCTTATGTAAACGGACACTTGATTTGTCTTGGGGTGGGTATAAGTATCAGAGAGAGAGAGAGAGAGAGAGTAGGTAATGGTGGCAGGTTTGGAATATGCAATGAAAACAGTACTTATTATTAATGCCACACCATGAAAGTTGATGCAATTAGTGCTGATTTTGCAGCACTTTTTTCCTGTTGTTGTTATTAATATTGATTTTGCGGTTGATGTGCACATTTTTGAACTGACAGGGATTTTACACAAATGGAACATACAGGGGTGATCAGTTACATATGTTTACTGAGAGAGGAGTGATGAGTGTGATTATAAAACAACAAAGATGGCTTCCCAGTGGTGCTGGTATTATAGTTCCATCCCATCCATCTGCCGAAATACCAATCGCGTCAAGATCATTCCCCTAACGGCAGCAAACACAAATATTTTCAGTGCTGTTTTCTCATTCGTAAAACTTATTCTTTTTTGAGAGACCCGCAATCGCATCGAAACATACAGACACACACATGCACACACATACACACATATACTCCAGGGATCCCAAACTGATTATGTAGATTTACGAATATAAAACAAATATGTTAATGAATGTTATCAGATAGTTGGTAAACTTTGCCTGCAGTGTGTGTAGTTTCATATATTTAATATTAAGCTTGTGAATATATCACTTCATATGACTCTTATTGGTCCAAATAAGCCCATGAAATTATTGTGCTGAGTGGCTGCCATCGTGTGAAAATGTTTTTTTTTTTTTTTTTTTTTAACCCCGCCTTCTGGAATTGTTTGTTTTGAATGAATGTTTTTTGACCGCCATTTTTTTTATTCGACTCGCGAAAGGGAATAGGGAAAAAATGATCTCGTCCAATCTCAATATTGCCAATCCCCTTCCCCCGCAGGAGTTTGTTATGTCAAGGATAACATATCATACCATGAAATATGGCAAAACCCCCAAGACAAGAACAATAATAACAAGTAAAACTATTGCTTAGAATATAACGAGGGTTGAGGTGGGGATGGAAGGGTGGTATATCTGTACCATGGAATCGACCCTATATACAAGCTTGGTTTAAATGTGAAGTTACTGAAGTAAATAAACTCCCATTTGGTCACAGAAGAATGTAGACATAAACCGGTCTCCCCCGACTGACAGAACTTTATCCAAACACAGCATATTTAGGCGGTAAATATGTTATGCAAGTCTGACTCAAAATGAGATTTATTTACGTCTTCTGTACAGCCCAATGTTCCAAATAAAATATTGCGAATATCCGGTCACAAAATACATTGCCGTATATATATATATATATATATATATATATATATATATATATATATATATATATATATATATATATATATATATAATTATATATATATATATATATATATATATATATATATATATATATATATATATATATATTGTGTTAATACTTGCCTTTACATGGACATTTATTCTTTGCTTTACAGTTGTCAAAAAATGTATAATATACGTTTTTATTTCAATTTTGGGACTATCTATTACGCACTACAAATGAAATGTACAGCACCTGTCTGAATGAAAGAAATTATTCGTTCTTCTTTCTATCTAAATGATTTCTCAAAAAAAAACTATGTAATAATAAGAATTTCAAATGGGTAACGATTTAATATGAAATTTATGCAAATCGTTAAATAATATCTATTCCCCCGAAAGAAAACTATGTGATAAAAAGAATCTCAAATGGGTAACGATTTAATATGAAATTTATGCAAATCGTTAAATAATATCCATTCCCCCGAATGAAAACTATGTGATAAATAAATCTCAAATGGGTAACGATTTAATATGAAATTTATGCAAATCATTAAATAATATACAGCGTTTGGTCGCCATGGCTCACAAAAACTTTACATTATTCAACTCGTTTCATAAAATCAATATTAAATCATTACCCATTTGATATCCTCTGTATATCGCATCTATAGTTGTGTCACATGTGCATGTTCTTAATTTTGGTCCATTCTTAAGTTAATGTTTTATTTAAATGTAAATTATTCTTTTGAGAAAATGTACAAAGCTAAAAACTATTTTACGTTCACGAAACTTGATTGTGCTAGCTACAGCTATTTGAAAATGTAATTGTTGTTTAGTATTGTTTTCATTTGTAGCTTTTGGGTTAGTTTATCGTAATCCAAAATCACTCAATTAAAAGAAACATGTACAGATTTAGTTTAATATACAAGTTGCTATCAAGTTGGACTGAGTGAAAGAGAATTGTTGATAAAAACAGGTATGCATATCTAGTGATTCTAAAATTTAAATTGGTAAAATTGAATGAATACAAAAATAAAAATAAACTTACATTTCTAAATAGGACTAAAGATAACGACTTGTTTTTAATGAGATATTCCCAGATATTTCCATATAAAAGCGTTAGTATTACAAAATATACAAGAAAGAATGCACAAGAAAGGTAACATAATTATTCAACAATAAGACTTATTTCTTAACTTACCTGTGTAAGGAAAATCAAGAAAGGGGTCTTTTGTAAACATGTATACAAAATACATGAAAATGGTCTTATTTTTGTTCAAGAAAAGTTTAATAGGAAAAGCCATAAATAGCTGTGAATTTAATCATCCGAGAAATGTGATGTAAACAAGAATATTGAAACACACATACACAGATATATATATATATATATATATATATATATATATATATATATATATATATATATATATATATATATATATATATATATATATCAAACCGTAGCTAATTAGCTGCACAGAGAACGTGAACTTAAACTTCTAAATGTCGTTGCTATTTAGATACGTGATGCAATGAAATCAGGTTCCTAGAAGGAATCCCATCAAACATCTCATGAATTTCCTTACTAAGAGTAAACAGATGTGCTTGAATTATTGATTTATTTTACCTTGAATTATCCAGTACTGATAAGAACTGATAAGAAGTTATAATAAATTCTCCAAATACAACCTAAAACAGCATTTGACCGTTTAAACGTTAGTGCATATGCCCCAGTGCATAATATCTTTATTATAAGTAAATATGCGTCGAAGAATAAAGGACACAACTTTAACGCCCACACACCAAATTCAAAGTCATGTGCACCATAGTGTGTATGCCTGGTCACTCTGGACCTTAGAAGAATATTGTTACT